CGTCTGCCGCCTTCCCCCCCCTCCCCCTCCTAGCATTGCCTCGTGGCACGCCGGCCGGCGGACTATGAAAGCAGCCAATGGTGTGTCGGTGGTGAAGAAAGCTAGGAAACCCGCCGACTGCGCGGCAACAAGGATTTCTGAAGATACCAAAAGCAAAGGTTTTACAGATCACCATAACGGAAACGCATGGAAACGCCTGCAAGGAGTATATGGACGAGATTTCAGCTGTTGCATTTGCGTAAAGAGCTGATTCAACCGAGCCAAAAACGTCCAAAACTGCCTTCCACTGTCGTCATGGGCCACGGCCAGTTGTATTATTTCCGATATGACTAAAAGATAAAGTGTAAAGTCTTTGGGAGTTAGTTATGAGGGATGCGTCCCCGCATTCGACTTCCATTCAGAATCGCAGTGGCGTAATGAATTTGTATGTGCCCTTTTACAATGACCTGGGCTGGCTTGCCGATGTACAAGTCGTACTTTCATCCTCCCGGACAAGTGTGGTTCCTATTAACCGACTCCGGAAGGATGGATGTCTTGATTGGCCAGGGAGAATATCGGTCCGGGATTCGAACCCGTGACCATGCGTGTGTGACACTGCGCCACTTGCCACTACGCCACCTCCGATCTCACCATGAGTGTATTCTGTGAATGGTGGTGCAATCTATAAACTGTCTTTGAATGAAGCATACAGCTTGCACAATGTTTGGACCTTTATAACACTCTATCCAGACTATTACACCATCTAACTGCGTCACATATGGTATACGGGTTCACAAAGTGATACTAGGGGGAAGTCTTAAAAACCATTTCTTGGGAGCTCAAGCAATGGGCGCCTCAGTAGACTAATACTGCACCAAACGGGTGATGGTGCAAGCAAAATATAGAGATAACAACAAGGTAAAACCCGCAGGATTACCTAGATTAGTCAGCTATGATTTTTGTATCTGGTCGTAAAAGTGAACATCGATAACATGAGGGGTTGAAGCACATCGTCAAATCAAAATCGATTCCATTGATGATTCACCCGAAAAGCATTCATTGACCTTTCCGAAAAGCCTCAAAGAAAAAAGTTCTGGTCGAACAGAACTTGATAAGAGCTTCTGCTAGTTCCTACTTCACCGCTAGCCTTATCTACAGCACTGATCATCGCCTTGCTCTCTGGAAGCGCCTATCATCGCAGAAAATCAACCCATATCTCCGGTAAATCGGCAGTTTTCACCTTGATCATCCACATGGGACCACTGTACTCTTCCCATAGCTCTGTTCAGAGATGCTTTGAAAATTTCGTGACCGATATCACCATTACAATTGACCTTGTCCGCTGGACATTGATAAAAGTGTCTGGAATGGCCACGAATAGATAGGTGCTATCGCCTATAGTGGGTAGTTGTCGCCTTATGCCGACAGATAGCGGCTGTCCCAGGAGGTGACGGAATTGACCACCTCCTTTTTTCACTTTTATATCTTTTATTACGTACTGTTACGATTTCTCAACCTGTTGTCCCCGCAGACAATGGGGCGGTTCTGTTGGGAATCGTATAGTTCTCCGTTCACTGCCACTCTATTTGCCCTTTGATTTCACACGTCATTGTCCGGATTCACGATATTCTAAACAGGAATGCCTTCTTGCTGCTCATACAGTATTCTCAGAAATCTTTTCAGGATAGACATCATCCAAATCTTCCAGAAGGACGATGGCAGAGCAGACGGAGTTTCAAAAACGCTTAATGGTGAGTTGATTTGCATTGTCGTCTTTGCTGCTCCGAACCGGTTTGATCGATTCCGACTGCTAGTTAATAAGTATTGTAAGCGTGAAATGGCCGTGAACTGAACAAAGAACGATTCGTGGGTGTTTTTCAGTGCTGTCGCACTTGCATGCATACATTTCACATAAACATTTCTAGCAAATTGGCATCCACGGAACGATATCGGCCATCATTGCATTAGGCTACGAATTACATCTGTTTGAAGCGTTGGCTAAAGTCGGCAGTGAAGAGAAGCCTGCAACACCAAAACAGGTGGCCGACGAAAGTGGATGCAAGGAAAGGTGACTATTTGCCCTAATCGGTCTTCTGAAACTTTCCTTACACTATGGGAGAGGGACAATCTGTCCCGAAAATGGGGCTACTTAGATAAGAGTACTAAGGTTTAAGTTTGAGCTTGAGCCTTAGAGACCTCTGCTGGTCGAAGTTGAACCGTTCAAGGGACTGCATGTTATGTGATGGTATAGGATTTGTAAAAGGGAATGATAAGATATCTACGGTAGCTTCACTGATGAATAAACGGTAGTCAGGAACGCCTGCTGATGGAAGTGTCACGCCGTTTCCAGATGGCTGTTTGAAACTTCCATCCGTGGGTGTTGTTGGCGGCTGTGATTGTCTCAGAAAAATTGCAAGCCTTTTTTGCCTCCTTTCCATACTAGCTTCAGCGCGACAACGCCAGAAATCTTCCGTTCGAAGTCAGTGTTTCTTCCCAACAGATAACGTGCGGAGCTGGCCCTTCCCAGAGGTGCTTCAGGAGATCATGTAAATATTACGAGCCAAGGCAAGGTGTACTCAAGAGAAAGCTCTATCATCCATCGAGAAGATCCCGATTTCATTGGAGCGCAGACAGCTGGAAGAACTTCCCATCTGTAAAACCTCCTTCACAGAAAGATTTAAGACTCTCACTTAGAAGATTCTCTAGGCCAAACTGTGGCTATTCCCACCCGAAGTACTTTTTTCTCTACGCCAAGAAAAGAAGTGCTGCCCCCTATTTCTCGATTTCAGATATGTGAAAGAATGGCTGTCGGTGATGGCGACAGGCGAGATCATCGAAGTCAACGAAGAGGAGAAATTCTGGATACCAAAGGAACACGTTGCGGTATGTCGTAAGACCATGACTCGTACTCTTTTTCGTGAATGGGAGGGTTGGGGGAGGGGGAGGGGGAATAAAATTCACAAAGTAACTCGAAGGTCGTTTAAGGGCAATTCACACGCTGACGGGCTAGAAATAGACTGATGTGAAAGGCGCTTTTCATAGTCATATCAGGCCATTAACAAAATGGAAAACAAAATTCTCCGCAGAAATTGGTCCTCTGATTTTGCGCTTTCTCCACCTACCCATGGTATGGCACCTATCGAAGGGAGCTTTTCGTTCATGCCAATTCATAAAAGTTAAATTTTAATTTTTAAAAGTGTGCGATACTGTGCCGTGTGGGAGAACAGTGGTTACCCAGCACATAATCCCACTGATATTAATACCTTCTAGGATCTTACGTCTGGCGTGGCTTTGCAAATGAATCTGTTTCTTCCGTTACATCTCAAGAGTTACGACAGCTTATGTGCAGTATTCAGAAAGGACGGTCCACTCGGTATTTTTGGAAATTTAGTTATATTTAAACTCTTTCAAGGTTCTTGACAAGATGCAAAGGAATTTTTCACCAAGGAGCTCCAAATTCTTCTGCTGATTCTATTTTTCAGGGCTGAAATACTCAGATTTCACTGGTTTCTACAAGATTATGTCGGAATTCAGTGAGACCTTACACAAGAAGCACCTCATCAGCGACTTTATACCAGCTCTTGGATCAGATCTGCCAGTAAGTTTAGCCCCGATTGATGTCGCAGACTACCTGTTTTCTCGACCAAAACCTCGAGTTCTAGGCACGTCTGAAAGATGGGGGTCTGACGTGCCTGGATGTTGGATGTGGGAACGGTTTCCATGCTGCACATCTGGGCGAGTCATTTCATCAACTTCACACATTTCGATTCACTACAGCATTGCCGTGAAGGTTTCCCTTTGAACTGAGGCATTGATAGGTTCGACCCCAATCGGGAAACTATTCTTAGTTGCTTTTGTTAGTATTGGTTTATTCAAGAAAGCGTGTCCATACTTCCTCATAAACGAGGGCGTAGAGCTTTCCAGTTTAGAGCAGTTACAATATTTCGCCCCGCTGGCTCACAGGGTTGGTTGTTTTTGAAAGGAATGCTGTCCTGGGAGCCCTCTTTTGAGACTACATCTTACGGGGGGTCTGCTTTGTAAGAAAAATTGCGCTCGAGGGCACTGAACATCCTTAAGACTCCAAAAATTTGGCAGGAAGTGCGTGGAATCCTTATTATCCGCATTTTGAGGGTAAGGAGAGAGGGACCGTGTAGGAAGCGTAGGGGCAAACACTTCCTGTTGTTCGGGTATCTCATAAGTGGAGTGGTATATACGTAGAAGCTGGGGAAGGTTCACAGTTGCATATTTCAGCTCAACATTTTCCGAATTCCAAGTTTGTTGGCATCGATGTAACCTCGGAAGCGGTGAATCAGGCTAATCAACGAAGGTGAGCAGAAACAGCAAAGTGATTAATCACCAGAAAGTCCTTTAGGCTAGAAATATTGCTTTCGTGGGTTTCTTTTATTTTTGTTCTGAATATCGATTTTTGAGAGTTTAGGAAAGATGATGGGCAAGCGTTTGACAATCTAACATTCATTCAAATGGACGCCGGGAAGATGGATCTCAGTTGGTCGAATAAGTTCGACATGGTGACGATATTCGATGCCTGTCATGATCAGATGAGGCCTGACTTGGTGAGCCACTGCTTATGCTTTATTAAATCTCCCTATCGTCCCACACAGCTCTAAATCTTGACCCCATCTTCATTACGTGGCCATGGAGGGACGAGAACACCAATGTAGTCCTAATGTTTTGTTACCAATGTGAGCTGATGTTGTGGAACACGCAAGTAACTAACATCTACAAACAAACAAAACGAATACAGGATTTTTGTGCTGAAGATAATGTGGTACACAGTAAAGGACGTTAGGCCACCCACCTTTTTGGAGAAGAGACCCAAGGGGTGAAGTAAATTTTTAGTGTTTCAGTGTCTGAAGGAGATCTATCGTGTTCTAAAGCCAGGAGGTGTTTTCGGCATGCTGGAGGTGAGGATGCGTGCCTTTTCCCTCCCCTTCCGATAATTTCATTTGAAATGTTT